AAAATGAAGATACTGAGGTAAGAAATTCTGTTTGTTTATGGTGAGTTAAGAATTCACTGATTGGTGGATTGTGTATTAACTAACAATGCTGGACCAGCCATGTTCAATAAGCATGCACTCCTCTCGAAATTAGTTCATAAATAGACTACACTTAAATTCTGCTTTTATAAAAAATAAAGTGCTGATGGACTCAAAGTTCAGTCTGTAGTTGAGCCGTCCTGCACCTATGAATTCAACGGCACAGCATGCAATCTCATAGCTTATTACTTAATATAAAACTTTTAAAGTCTCATTTACAGTCTAAGGACTTGAATCTGGATTTACTTCTGATTTTGCTAACATTTAAAAAATATTTGATATAGCCCACCATATGGCAAATTTAGCAAATAAGTGACCATATGGGTTGTGAACAAAAAACTTATGTCTGTGGCAGATGTGACAGAAACTCCCAAGAAATCTGCACATCAGGAACATCCGCGATCTGACAGAGAACAGCACATCTTAAACCTGTACAAGACAGCACTGATGACTTATGCTATTTATAGGATTTTCTGCAATGGGCTCTCAAGAATTAGTCTTAAGTCAGCATAAAGATATTGTGCTCATCTTTCAAAATAAGTTTTGGTGCAACTTCGAGTATTGTCAAAGTCTAACACAGCAGCACAAGATAGAGAAGCAAAAAGAAATGAAAAGGTACTAATAGAGAGAACAGAGCAGAAGCATAATTATGTAAGAAACAGTTGTGTTCTGGCCAGAAAAAAAACAGTATTGTGTACCTGGGAGTTTAAAAACCTTCAGAAGCTTCTCTTTCAAAACATTTACGCCCCATTCACTCGGGCTTCAGCATCAATGCTTGACAAAGGCGTGTGTGAAGTTGGGGCTGACGCGATTATAGCAGCATCAGCCAATGGAATTAATCAGCAATAGGCCACTGTCTGAGCTTGTGTATTTGCATTAGGGTTGTAACAGTATGAATTTTTTACGGTATGATAATCGTCTAAAACAATACCACGGTTTAACGGTTTCGCGGTATACGGTATGTTACAAATGTTACAAAATAATAGAACAGTGAAGCAAATTTGACTTTTTCCAAATAATATATTTTCAGTTACTATAAACAACACCACTTACAATGAACAAATAAAAAATAAGAAAATAATAAATAATGTGTCAAAGTCCAAATAAAGTCCAAATAAACATGGTGCAGTCTACAATGCAGACAAACAGCTGCACCTTCATTTGTGTCTTTTGAAAACAGCAAGAGCAGCAGTTCGTCTTTGCTGTGTCACTGTTTTGTCATGTTTCTGTGCTGCTGTGCATGCAAAAGTACTTAGTATGAGAATTATTTCATGCAAAACTTTTTTTTTTGCGTTCTATTTAGCCGCGCATAAATGTACAGCCTATCTCTCATTCCGTGTTGTTCAAAAAGCTTGTTGTTGGTTCACAAACAAAAGCGAAACCTATGCTTATTGGTTGTGATACAGCGAGTTTGAACCAATCTGGGCATGGAGGAGGGACAATGCATCAATGTATCATGTCTGGTTTGTCCGGAGACACAGTGACGAGCGTTTCTTTGTCAAATCAGCGTTGTCAAATTTTGATGACGTAACCGCACTGATTCCGGAGCCTCTGAAAGTCCGCGAATGGTATGTGATACAGCACCGGAAAGCTGAGATTCTCTTCTTTATGCCAATCTTTGAATTGTATGAATCGGATCAGCGGATCAAAAGTTATTAAACATTTAAGAGCAATACTTATTTTTAGCCGCGGGCGGCTGTCTCGATCTTTAAGGGTTAAAACCGTTGATATGCAATTGTTCATGGTATGATAATCGTGCACGTTCAAATCGTGGTAGACCGTCATACCGGTATATTGTTACAACCCTAATTTGCATACAGCAATCTGACGCTTCCGGCACTTGAAAAGTTGAGCAAGTCCCAACTTCTGCAGCGACCACTGAAGCGGCGCCGATGGATCCACAATGCAGTTCGGCAACACCTGACATCACCCATTCAAAGTCAATGGGAAGCGTTGAAGCTGACGCCCTGTGTGAATGGGGCATTACTGGAAATCAAAACAGAGTGGCCATCATTTCTGGTCACCTGACTCCATGAGATGAACATTTGAGAAGTAGTTATATTGATTTAGGTTATAAATGCTCCTCAAAGCAGTCTTCCACACATTCTTCAAAGCCTTAAAGTAAGTATATTACTTTAATTCTTTGTTGGAAAAGGGAACAAAATGATTCACATGACTCGTGCACTGTATTCCAAGTCTTATGAAGTCATATGCCAGCTTTTTTGTGAGCTTTTTTGTGAGGACAAACATTATTTGTTATTCTTTGAAAATCTGAAAAGGAAAAAACTTAACCCAAAAATGAAAATCCTACCATGAAGTCACAGTATGTACAGGTACAGGTATTTTAAAATGTGCATTTTAACTAAGGGGTCCATACTGATTTCTTAAATGTACAAATGTACACTATAAGCACATAAGAATTTCAAGAAGTAAACCTTTGTTCTTCATAGAGACTATTATATGGCCTTTAGATACATGGATGCTTTGATATTTTGAAAAGTGACAGCTTTTGTTCCTTTATTTCTGAGAGTGTATGATTAACTTGTAGATGTTTTAATTTTAAATCAATAACAAAGACAGAGCTTGATGATCCAGTAAAGAAGCACAGGTCTATCATCTGCCATCATGAATGGATTATTTAAATTCACATTATTTAATTTTAATGTAATAAAATGACTGGAAGAAACACAATGTTAACTGATAAATTGTTACTCATACGCAGGTCATTTTATCTGTCAAGTTAAATTATTGTAACAGTTTTACGTGAATGAAGTTATCATAAAAATAAATTTTACTGCAGTGAATGTAATGTCGTAACATTGCTGTCTAGGTGCCTGGCATGAGGCAATAGTTGTACAGTACAAAGCAGTTAGCTATAACTGTAATTAAAATATCATAAAAAGGTAATGTAACACAGTTGCTCAGCTGTCTAATAAAACACACGCAAGATCTCACATTCTTTTATTTCATAACTCCTCTTGTGCTTAAATCTTCCTGAGCCACTAGTATAATTTAGTGGACTGCTACACAATAAAACTATTATTGTCAGGCAAAACCCTTGATTGTACCAAAGATGAACAAATGTCCTACAGGTTTTATGAGGTTAAAGGGCTAGTTCACCCAAAATTAGTTAGCTGGCTAGCTCTTTGCAACTTTCACTTGGTCGCCCACTGAAGCTAAGCAGGGCTGCGCCCAGACAGTACCTGGATGGGAGACCAGACGGGAAAGCTAGGTTGTTGCCAGAAATGGTGTTTGTGAGACCAGCAGGGGGCACTCAACCTGTGGTTGGTGTGGGTGCTTATGCCCTAGAATATTGATGGGGACTCTTTACTGCTCATTGAGTGCTGTCTTTCGAATGAACCGAGGTCTTGACTCTTTGTAAAAATCCCAGGATGTCCTTCGAAAAGAGTAGGGGTTTAACACTGGCATCCTGGTCAAATTTGTCCACTGGCCTTATGTCCATCATGGCCTCCTAACCATCCACATATCATAATTGGCCTCTCCACCAATCAGCAGGAGAGTGGTGCATGGTCAGGCGCAATATGGCTGCCGTCCCGTCATCCAGGTGGATGCTGCACACTTGTGGTGGATCAGGAGATTTCCCCCAAAACAGTGTAAAGCGCTTTGAATGTCCAGAAAATCTCTCTCTCTATATACTTGTAAGGAATTATTACAATTATTATAAAAATGTTTTTTTCTGCCATAATTTACTCGGCCATGATTTGTCTGAAACCAATTTGCATTTTTTTTTTATTGAACACAAACCAAGATCTACTGTTTAAAACAAGAATGTTTTAATCTGGTAACCATCATCATTCATATACTGTTGGCAAATCAAATACTTTGGACATCCATTACTAGAGGTTACCATCATTCTTTAATATTTCCTTCTTTTGTGTTTAACAGTACAATAAACGTGGTTTGGAACAGGTCAATGGTGAGTAAACAATTCTTTTGTTAGGGGGTGAACTATCCATTTAAATGGCAGAGTTTTGAGTTAATTCTCCCTTTAAACAGTTTTTTTTTTTGAAGTTTCAAACAAATCAATGACAAATCAGACCAACTCTGAAATGAAAAAGAACAGATCATTCCCTAGATTTAAATTATCAGTAAATAAGGCTTTACATGTTTGTTAATCAAATTGCACAATAAATGGAGTAAGTGATTCTGAACTGTCTGAAGGAGCCTATAATAATTGAAGGATTTGCAAATGCAAAGCTACTTTACATGCAATCAGGGCAATTGTAGCATGTTTTATAATGTATAGGTTGTGTTTCAGTTATGCCCCACATCAACACTATAATGACTACTACTTTAACCTGTGAAAATTAAGAACGCATTTTAAATTGGAAACGATTGTTTCTTTTCAGTACAGACTGGCTGAAACGCAAACTATCCACAATTACTCTTTGACTGGTCTTCTGAAGAATTAAATATCATTCCCTGATTCGTCATGTCACTCTCATATAACCATTACACAACTGGTAGATGGCAAGAACTGATGCAGGCAAACATTGCACATGCCCACTGAGCATGAATGGTCACATATCATAAGTTTTAGTATATATAGTGGGAAAATTTTTCTAAAACACAGTAAAAATGCCAATACATATGGACAATGAGTGTTTTCACACTAAAGTGAAAACTTAAGTCCTTATCTGCCATTATATAAATAACCAAGGACCACATATTCAGCTAAAAAATCTTCTTCAATGCTCTACTGAAGAAGGAAAGAAATACATCTAAATGTTGGATGATTTGAGGATGAGTACATTAACAGGAAATGTTAATTTTTGGGTGATCTATCCCTTTAATATTCAAAGCCAGTATGCATACCTGTTAATCATTTTCACGGGCATTTCTCTGATCTACCCAGCAAAGTGAACTGTGCATTATTATGAGTGGGTGTTTAATTGTCTTACCCCTGTCGGTGTCGTAGAGAAAGACAAAGCGATTCCAGTCATAGTGGTCCAGCAGGCTGAGCAGGGCCCCTCGTATGGAGGGCCGCAGCTGTAAGACGAACTGGCTCTCGCCCTCGGTGGGGAAACTGGGTGTGATGAGGGAGATGTGCAGCGCGCCGCAGAATGATGTTAGCGTGTGAACCGACCTCTTGTCGTACAGGCCGAAAATGGCGAAGACGCCCCGTGAGTACTGGGAACAGACTGCAAAGCACAACAACAAAGAGGAAGAGAGAGTTAGATGCTTAAAACATTAATTACATAATTCCTGAGGGAGCGCTGAACATTTACTTCACTTTAGAGCATTAGGACCTAGCTTACGTTAGTGATCCTGTGTAGGGCTTTTCCGTAGGTGTTTGAAACATTAATGAAACAGCCTGGGAGACCCATCCACCACCTGAACAAGCGCATATATTTTCTACATGGATTCGATTACCAGTTCAGCTCATTTCTGCACCGTAGTACAAAATGTTACACAAGAACGAGTCATTTCAAAAACACAAAATACAAAAGGTATTGTTTAACACAAGTAGGGCTATAATAACTGAATAAAGTGATTTGTTGGCTTTCTGTTTCTTCTCCTTCAGAGGGAGATTCTAAGCTGGTACAAACAATTGTGATGTGTTACCTTTTATGTTTAAGATTAGTAGATCAATATTTAGTATATACACTCATCGGCCACTTTATTAGGTACACCTTTAATCAGTCAATCACATGGCAGCAACTCAATACATTAAGACTATTTGCTGGAGTTCAATTCGAGCCTCAGAATGGGGAAGTAAGGTGATTTCAGTGACTTTGAACGTGGCATGGTTGTTGGTACCAGACAGGCTGGTCTGAGTATTTCAGAAACTGCTAATATACTGGGATTTTCACGCACAACCATCCCTAGGGTTTATAGAGAACCAAAAAAAGAGAAAATATCTACCGAGCAGCAGTTCTGTGGGTATAAATGCCTTGTTCAAGCCAGAGGTCAGAGGAGAATGGCCAGACTGGTTTGAGCTGATAGAAAGGCAACGGTAACTCAAATAACCACTCGTGATTCTCATTACAACAGAGGTATGCAGAAAAGCATCTCTGAACACACAACAAGCCGAACCTTGAGGCCCCTCCTGTCAGCTAAGAACAGGAAACTAAGGCTACAATTCACACAAGCTCATCTAAAACGGACAATAGAAGATTGGAAAAACGTTGCCCAAGTCTCAATTTCAGCTGCGGCATTCAGATGGCAGTCAGAATTTAGCGTCAACAACATGAAAGCATGGATTCATCCTGCTTTGTATAAACGGTTCAGTCTGATTGTGGTGTAATGTTGTGGGGCATACTTTCTTGGCACACTTTGGGCCCATTAGCACTAATTGAACATCATATCAACGCCACAGCCTAGCTGAATATTGTTGCTGACCACGTCCATCCCTTTATGACCACAGTGTTCCCATCTTCAGATGGCTACTTCCAGCAGGATAACGCACCATGTCATAATGTGTGAATCATCTCAGACTGGTTTCTTGAACATGACAATGAGTTCACTGTACTCAAATGGCCTCCACAATCACCAGAGCTCAATCTAATAGAGCACCATTGGGATGTGGAGGAACAAGAGATTTGGATCATGGATGTGCAGCCAACAAATCTGCAGCAACTGCCTGATGCCATCATGACAATATGGAAAAAAATCTCTAAGGAATATTTACAGTACCTTGTTCAATCTATGTCTAAGGATTGAGGCAGTTCTGAAGGCAAAATGGGGTTCAACCCGGTACTAGTAAGGTGTACCTAATAAAATGGCCGGAGAGTGTATATTTTCATTTAGAGATTCAAGATTATGTTTTACAGGATAATTAAGCTACCACTGTATATTATCAGATATAAAATATAGCTTATCTCTAAATGTTGCTGTTGGTCAATAGCCTATGGAGCTTTGGAAAAACTGACCATTTGGAAATTCTTATTTTGTCTAAATTGACATTTTCCAGTTATCTTTTTGAGTAAAACAATATTTAAATTTTGTTTTGCAAACTACTGATGACATTTCTTCTAAAATTAAAATCAAAATAATATTTGTAAAGCATAAAAAAGTGGTCAGAAAAGTTATATCAATTTTAAAACAACACATTAACAATGTGTTTACATTCAGAAGAGTTAAGAAGTCAGTGTTTCTTTGAATAACCCTGATGTACAGTCATAACAAATGAACATTTGGAAATTTGTCCATTTTCTGAAAGAAAGAAAATGTTTGAAATTATAACAACATTTTACTTGAAATTTGGAAAAAATATTCTCAAACCTTTATAGAATAAAACAAATACTGACATTTCATTCAAACATATACCTTTAAGTTAAGTAAATCAAGAGAAACGTATTATTTTCAATTGGCGGAATGAAATACAGTATATTCATGATATAGAAATACATTGCCCCTTTGATTTAACATTGAAAACGCTACGGGGTGCTTGCTGTCCAAATGTGCTTTTCAAAAAACACAGCAAAAGCAAATGGAAAATTGGATCAGTTCTGTGGACTTGCTCATTATTGAGTCAGAGCCGCAGCAGTGAGTGCCAGCGGTTTCCAATACACACTTTCTATGCAGTATGATAATGAGCTTCACGCTGCTTCTCCCTGTGTTTCTGCAATTCGGAGAAACTTCAGTGACTGCCGAGGAAAAAACGTCTGATCCACTGCCTCCATCTGAACAGAGTAGTTAAGCAGACCCGTCTCTAACAATGTCTCTCATGTCTGACAGTCCTGCAGTTATTGTCAGTTTTCCCCTTTTCATATTTCTTTCTTGCAGCAAGTCCGACTTTGAAGCTTTAACTGTGTTACGCTAATGGAAAATCCTCCTGGCTTTGATGATTTTCATTTTCTCTATCTTTTCCAAAAAAGACATGTCAAAACGAACAACGTGCATTGTTCTCTAACTGCTTTTTTTCTGTCATTGTAAACAAGACGCTCATTTAATCGATGGTATCATAATTACATATCGCTAAACGCACCGCAACTGAAGGGTTTTGTGGTAGTTGGTTATTTTAGTATGATTCTGATTGACACTAACATGTGTGTGAGTGTAATTGTGGATTATTAGTGGGATCTTATTGTGCTGTAAGTATAGGCTCTTTGATCATGGATGTGCTAAAAGCTGCACAGGCTACATCTGCTCCAGACTGGGGGAAGGGTGAGGAGAGACACCTGGATCTGACCATGGGGAGCATCAATCCTACTGAGAACACAGCCTACACACACACACACACACACACACACACACACACACACACATACACTTGAATATGTGATTTAAAATCATTTCCCACTTCATGGGCATAATAATTTTTAAACTGTACAGACTGTATATTTGGGTCTTCTTATTACAATTATGGGATGATAACGTTTTTCAAGGTAAACCGTGATTTGGAAAAGGTTTCAAAACTTTGTCTAATATGTCCAAAATCTTCTGCTATACCGTTCCTAAGGTACGTGTAAGATTTTTTCCCCTTTTTTTTTAGGACAACATTATCTCCAACAGAAAATATATCCAAAGATTCCATTTCAATTGGTAAAGAAATCAGTGTTTTTAAGCCTAAAAAAAGGGCAGAATTCAATGATTCATTTGAATTATTTAGCCTGACATGTTTACTACTCCAAAACATTTTTAATGTTTCTCAAATAAAATATTTTGTGTTCAAAAGGGAAACAAGTTTTAGTTTTTTTCCCCAGACATTTAAAAAGAATATATTTTAGAGCAGTAATCACAATACCGTGATATTTTTATCCAAGGTTATCATACCGTCAGAATATTAAACTGACCCAACAACAACCATTTTCATAAGCACAGCACTAACAGAAAACATGACCTTTTTTCAGATTAAAAATGCAAATAATGTATTCCATGTTTATGGTGACTGTTCATTCAAAGGCATGATTTAAAACAGTACAAACTGTGCACTATTTACTCTAACCCTATAGGCACTGCAGCGTTTTTGTATTGCAGGCACGCGAGCTGATGTTTTACAGTTGGAGAAGCGATCACAGGGGCGACGCAGTGGCGCAGTAGTTAGTGCTGCCGCCTCACAGCAAGAAGGTCGCTGGGTAGCTGGTTCATGCCTTGGCTGGATCAGTTAGCGTTTCTGTATGGAGTTTGGATGTTCTCCTAGACATGGGACGATAACCATGATCAAGGTATACCGCGGTTTGGAAAAAGTAAAGGTTTTAAAGAGCCCATATTATACATGAAATAAGGTCATATCTTGGTTGTAAGGGTCTCCAACAACAGTCTAATATGCATGCAAGGTCAAAAAACACTTTCATGGTCTTATAATCTGCATTTATTTTTACCTAATTATCCCAGCGACTCCTGTATGAATCGCCCAGTGATTCATTTGTTCCCAAACCCCTCCTTAGCGCGGAGCTAATCTGCGCTGATTGGACCGATGACAGTCTGTCGCGATTGGTCGACTGCCTTCAGTCAGAGAGGGAAATGGCCAATAGCTAATCAGCAATTTAAAAAGTAATCACAGTTCATACACGCTCGATAGTGTAGGCGTGGACTTTAGCTGCCACACTATGGCCAGTGGATAGTGCCACGGATAACCGAACGAAGGAGACAGTCGTGTACTCGCCATACCACACACACACAAAAACACACACACACCTCCGGATGACAACGCTCCCGCTTCAGCCCGCACCCGCCAGGTTTTAGCCTGAGAACCCGCTCCGTTTTCTGCCCGCCGCGCCCGGTCCCGCTAGAGCGGAGAACACAACCAAATATCACCCAGTATTCAGTCACACACAGCACAAAGTACACAAAGCTCGTTCGTTCGTTCGCTCTCTCTCGCTCTCTCTCTCTCTCTCTCCCCGCGCCAGATTTCTGCGGCGCGGGAATACATTTCCGAATAAATCGCGGGAGCAGAACTCTAGCACGGAGCTCCATAAACAAACAGCACGCGTCGCGTTTTTAACGTGACTTTGCACGCGATAAGATAATATATCCAGTTAACCTGATACAGTACACGCGGTTACAAGTAACAAATCACAACTAAATACATTTGCAAGCTAGAGTAAACGAGGCAACAACTTTAACCGCACGTACTTACACTTGAGAAATGTAGGAAGAAACCCATCCTGACGTCCATCAGTTACTCTTTACTGATCCTTCCTTTAACAAACTCAGATGAAGTATTCTTTGTAGCATGTAGCTTCCAGAAGTTTCC